GTTCTTAGCGCAGAACTCGGTGGGAAGGGCAGCACGCAGGCGAGCATCACTAGTGCGAAGGTGGGTGATAAGATCGGCGACTGTAGCAAAGGTGGACAGCTCAGGGAACAGGTACGGCAGCATGAGGCGGCTAAGCTCGGCTGTGGCAGGCGAGGAGTAGCGAGCAACGACAGCATCGTACAGGGCCTTAGCGGATTTGCAGTCGCCAAAATGCTCGAGCTCAGCTAGCGGCAGGTGACTGCGAATGGCTAGGCGAGCAGCTGCGTCACGAGTCTGCCAGTGGGAACGAACACTAAGCTCAGCTGTGGCAGGAGGGGCAGGTGCAGCACCAGACGCGTAATCATAGAGCGACACATGCTCCTTGCTATCGCTCAGAAGGAACAGCTGCAGGTCGTCCAGCCAAGTTGCGAACTTCACAGGGCGGCCCTCAGCATCGAACGACAGCACGCGGATGGAAGCCATAGTGACAGTGCGACTGAGCAAAGGAAGCTGCCGCAGCGCTGCAGGTAGGTAGCTCGGCGGGAAGCGCGGCGGGCGGGCGACTCGGCGAGCGGGCAGTGCGGGGGGCGGGCTACGAAGCGGGCAGCGCGGTGGGCAGGCGGCGCTGCAGGCGGGAAGTGCGGCGGGCGGGCTGCGAAGCGGGCAGCGGGGCGGGCGGGCGACGCGGCGAGCGGGCAGCGCGGCGGGCGGGCTGCGAAGCGGACAGCGGGCGGGCGGGCAGCGCTGCAAGCGGGCAGCGGGCGGGCGGGCGACGCTGCGAGCGGGCAGCGCGGCGGGCGGGCTGCGAAGCGGGCAGCGGGCGGGCGGGCGACGCTGCAAGCGGGCAGCGAGGCGGGCGGGCGACGCGGCGAGCGGGCAGCGCGGCGGGCGGGCTGCGAAGCGGGCAGCGGGCGGGCGGGCGACGCTGCGAGCGGGCAGCGGGCGGGCGGGCGACGCTGCGAGCGGGCAGCGCGGCGGGCGGGCTGCGAAGCGGGCAGCGGGCGGGCGGGCGACGCTGCAAGCGGGCAGCGAGGCGGGCGGGCGACGCTGCGAGCGGGCAGCACGGCGGGCGGGCGACGCTGCGAAGCGGGCAGCGGGCGGGCGGGCGACGCTGCGAGCGGGCGGCTCGGCGGGCGGGCGACGCTGCGAGGGGCGCGCGAGGGCGCTAACGAGAGGCGCACGAGGGCGCTAACAAGGGCGCGCGAGGGCGCTAGCGAGGGCGCGCGAGGGCGCTAACGAGAGGCGCACGAGGGCGCTAACGAGGGCGCGCGAGGGCACTAACGAGGGCGCACGAGGGCGCTAACGAGGGCGCACGAGGGCGCTACGAGGCTAGGGCACGGGGTAGCGTGGTAACCGCATGCGAGCGGTGGTGGGCCCTTAAAAAAAACGGTCGGTAGGTCCTAGGGACCTCCTGCTCTGAATACCATGTGAAAAGAACTAGGCAAGAATGGTGCATTGAATGGAAGAATTGGGTACAAGTAGCAAACCCTAGTTGGGGTTGTACCCCATATTGGCTACCCCACTACAGCCTACAAACATAATACAGTTTAACAGAATTCATCCATATTGTATCTAGCAATGAAACCGATGGATGGATTTGTAGGGACTAAAATGTGGTGTGCGTAGGTGTAGACTACACTGGTGGAACAACAAATCAGCACACTTTTGTCGAAGAGGACAGTCATGATTGTTAAACTGTTATATGTTGGTAGGCTGTAGTGGGGTAGCCAGTATGGGGTACAACCCCAACTAGGGTTAGCTACTTGTACCCAACTGTTTCATTCAATGCACCATTCTCACGCTAGTATTCTGATATGGTATTCAGAGCAGGTGGTCCCTAGGACCATCCGATCGTTTTTTTTAGGGCCCACCACCGCACGCTGCGGTTACCGCGTTACCCCCGCGCCCTACCCTCGTAGCGCCCTCGTTGCGCTCTAGCGCCCTCGTAGCGCCCTTTGTAGCGCCCTCGTGCGCCCTGCCGACCGGCGTCCTGCCAGCCCAGAGCCCCGCGCGCCTCCCCTGCTCTGCCCGTCGTTCCGCCCGCTCTGCCCCGCGCTGCCCGTCGCGCTGCCTCGCAGCCCCGCGCACCGCCCGCTGTGCCCCGAGCCGCCCGTCGATCTGCTGCGCAGCCCCGCGACCCGCCCGCCCTCGTCGCTCGGCTCTGCAGCCCCGCGCGCCGCCCGCTCTGCCCCGCGCAGCCCGTCGAGCTGCCTTGCAGCCCCGCGCGCCGCCCGCTTTGCCCCACGCCGTCCGTCGCGCTGCCCGCCCGCCCGCCGTGCTGCCCGCTTGCGGAGTCGCCCGCCTGTCGCGCTGCCCGCCTGCAGCGCCGCCTGCCTGCCGCGCTGCCCACTTGCAGAGCCGCCCGTCCGCCGCGCTGCCCGCTTGCAGCGCCGCCTGCTGCTCCCTGCCCGTGCGCAATTGCCCGCCCCTGCTGTGGTAGCTTGCGTTGCTCTGCCGTACTGTCGTTATGGCTTCCATCCGCGTGCTTTCGTTCGATGCTGAGGGCCGCCCTGTGCAGTTCACCACTTGGCTAGATGACCTGCAGCTGTTCCTCCTGAGCGATAGCAAGGAGCATGTGTCGCTCTATGATTACGCGTCTGGTGCTGCACCTGCCCCTCCTGCCACAGCTGAGCTTAGTGTTCGTTCCCACTGGCAGACTCGTGACGCAGCTGCTCGCCTAGCCATTCGCAGTCACCTGCCGTTAGCTGAGCTCGAGCATTTTGGCGACTGCAAAACCGCTAAGGCCCTGTACGACGCTGTCGTTGCCCGCTATTCCTCACCTGCCACAGCCGAGCTTAGCCGCCTTATGCTGCCTTACCTGTTCCCTGAGCTGTCCACCTTTGCTACAGTCGCCGATCTTATCACCCACCTTCGCACTAGTGACGCTCGCCTGCGTGCCGCCCTTCCCACCGAGTTCTGCGCTAAGAACCCCCCTCCACTGTACTGGACACTCCACTTTCTAGTCACCCGTCTCCCTGACACCCTTAGCTCAGTGCGCGACTATTTCCTTGCTCGCTGTCCCACTGAGCTCACTGTCGCCCTCCTAGAGGAGAAACTGCTAGCAGCCGAGAAGAGCATTGTAGCTGTAGGTGCTGCTCGTGGCGCTCCTCGCACCCCCATCTTTGAGGGGTGTTCTCCCTCTCCCCTCGCTCCCTCCTACGCTACTGCTGCTGCTGTTGACTTCCTTGGTGCTGAGTCTGCTGGCGCTGCTTCTGCTCCTGGTGGGAGGCGCCGCACCGGCAAGGGCAAGGGGGGCAAGGGTGGCGGGGGTGGCGCTGGGGGGGGAGGAGGTGGGGGAGGGGGGGGGGGGGGGGGGGGGGGGAGGCGGTGCTGGAGGGAGCGGTGGCGGGAGTGCTGGTGGGAGTGGGGTCGGCAGCGGAGGCGGGGGCGGCGGAGGGAGCGGTGGCGGTGGTGGCGGCGGCGGCGGTGGCGGCGGCGGTGGCGGTGGCGGCGGTGGCGGTCGGAGCGGAGGTAGTGGTGGCGGCGGAGGTCGGAGTGGAGGCACTGGCTCGGGCCAGAGCTCCCACCAGCAGCAGCGTCCCCAGACGACCCAGCAGCTTCGTGAGTGGCTTGCTCAGCGTGGGACGTCGGGGGGCAGTGGCCGCTGTTCCTATGTCATTCGCACAGGTGACCGCAAGGGACAGACGTGTGGGAGGTTCCACACCCCGTACCGCTGCTTCTCCCGCCTTGACGACGCTTGGCGTGAGGAGATGGGCGGGAATGTTGAGCGCCCCCGCTGGGCTGAGCTCATGAGGGCTGGTGTTGATATCTTTGCTCTTGACTATGATGCTATTATTGCTGCCATGTATGCATTGACTGTTAGTGCCGAGGGAGACTGTTACTTGTGTGTGCCGCCTGACCCAGGTATAGAGCCCGCTGCCCTGGGTACTAGTGAGTCTGCTCTCTCTGGTCTGGTGCCCTCTGTGGCTGCTCCCTCCAGTACTGTCCCTACTGCTTGTGAGTCTGCTCTCTCAGGTACAGCACCCACAGAGACTGCTCTCTCAGGTACTGCACCGGCTGAGGCCTTGCACACCTTCACCCTTGACTCAGGTGCTTCCCGCTGTTTCTTTCGTGACAGTACTGAGCTCACTCCACTTCCTGCACCGGTCCCAGTCTCCTTGGCTGACCCCTCGGGGGGCCCAGTCCTTGCACGGTCCACCACTGTGCTCCCGTGTCCGGCGGTTCCGTCTGGCTCGTTGTCGGGTTTCCACCTCCCCTCGTTCTCGACGAACCTGGTGAGCAACGCTGTCATCCAGGATCAGTGGGTTGACACCTTTACTCCTGGAGGACAGCGTGTGGCGATCCTCACGTGCTCCAGGACTGGCCGTCACCTGGCTACGTTTACCCGTCGGCCGGGGTCGAGTCTCTACACACTGTCCACTGCGTCTCCTCAGGTCGCTGCTGTCGGTCAGGTGTCCGCGTCAGGTCTGGTAGCCCACGCCTGTGAGTGTCGTTCCCTGTCGCACCAGACTCTTCTCTGGCACCACCGCCTGGGCCACCCCTCCTTGCCACGCCTCCGTGGCATGCACCGTCGCCACCTTGTGTCTGGTCTTCCCAGGTCCCTCCCTCCCCTCCCTGCCTCGCCTGCGCCGCCTTGCCTTCCTTGCGTCGAGGGGCGGCAGCGCGCCGCTCCTCACTCCTCCTCGTTCCCCCCGACAGAGGCTCCTCTGCAGACCCTCCACCTGGACGTGTGGGGCCCAGCCCGCGTTCGTGGCCAGGGCGGTGAGCGGTACTTTTTGCTGGTTGTCGACGACTACTCGCGTTACACCACGGTCTTCCCCTTGCGCACCAAGGGTGAGGTCCCTGCTGTTCTGATCCCTTGGATCCGCACAGTTCGTCTCCAGCTCCGCCGCCGTTTCCGGACAGATCTTCCTGTCCTGCGTCTGCACTCTGACAGAGGTGGTGAGTTCTCCTCCGACCTCTTGAGGACCTTCTGTCAGGCGGAGGGCATCGAGCAGACCTTCACGCTTCCGGACTCCCCACAGCAGAATGGGGTTGCTGAGCGCCACATTGGCCTGGTCATGGAGGTCGCTCGTACCTCCTTGGTCCATGCGGCGGCTCCCCATTTTCTGTGGCCGTTTGCTGTCCGGTACGCCGCGCATCAGCTCAACCTCTGGCCCCGTGTCTCCTTGCCGGAGACCTCGCCCACACTGCGTTGGACGGGGGAGGTTGGCGATGCGTCGCGCTTCCGGGTGTGGGGTGCTCGTGCCCTTGTCCGCGATACGTCCGCGGACAAGCTCTCCTCCCGCACGCTTCCCTGTGTCTTCCTTGGCTTTGTCCCTGACGCGCCTGGCTGGCAGTTTTACCACCCCACCTCGCGCCGGGTCTTCGCCTCTCAGGACGTCACCTTTGACGAGTCGGTCCCTTTTTACCGTCTCTTCCCCTACCGCACTGCCCCCCTCCCTCCCCCGCCGCTTTTCCTCGCTCCTGGTCCCCCTCCGGTAGACCCCCTTCCCCCTCAGGGTCCTGCTCCTTCAGGTGTCTCTCAGGTAGACCCTCCTCCCGTCGCTGAGCCTGTCGAGGTCACAGGTGACTCAGGTGCTGCTGCGGGTGGTGCTGCTGGGAGTGCTGAGCTGGGGGGTGCTGAGCCTGCGGGTGCTGGGCCTGGGGGTGCTGCGGCTGCGGGTGCTGGGACTGAGGATCCTGGAGCTGAGGGTACTGTGCCTGAGAGTTCGGAGCCTGGGGGTGCTGAGCCTGGGGGTGCTGCGCCTGGGGGTGCTGAGCCTGCGTGTACGGAGTCTGGGGGTGCTGAGCCTGGGGGTGCTGCGCCTGGGGGCACTGAGCCTGGGGGTACTGCGACTGAGCCTACGGAGCCTGGGGTTGCTGCGTCTGGGGGTGCTCCGGTTCGGGGTGCTGAGCAGTCTCTCACACCGCAGCAGCTTCGTGACTGGTACGTCCGGCGCTTTCGCCGTCCTCGTGGCCCTGCTGGAGTTGGAGGTTCTGGAGCTGCTCGTCCTGGAGGTGCTCGTACTGGAGGTACTGGAGCTGCCGGGACTGGCTGTTCTGGGAGCACTGAGGCTGGAGCTGCTGGAGCTGGCGGTGCCAGCGGAGTTGGAGCTACCGGCTCTGGGGGTGCTCTTCCTGGCGGTACTGGAGCTGCTGGAGCTGACGACACTGGAGCTGACGGTTCTGGACACGGTGGTCCTGCTGGTTCTGGAGGTGCTGGCGAGGGGAGGTCTGACGCTGCTGGGGCCTCTGGTGCTGACGTCGCCGACTCTGGGGGTGCTGCGGCGGAGGGTGCTGGTCCTGGTGCTTCTGGTGCTGCGGGTGCTGGAGGTGCTGGCGGAGCTCCGCCGTCGCGCCTGTTCTTCGCTCCTCCGTCACCGTCGGCTTTGCCACCGCCTGACACGGTGCTTCGCCAGGTTCTTTCCCTCCCGTCTTCCACTGGCCTTCCCCTCCAGCCTGGCTCCCCCCTCCCTGCTCCTGTGCCTTACACTGCACAGCCGGACTCGCTTACGGAGCGTCGCGAGCCTGCGTCTCGTCCTGCCTCGCCTGTTCGCGCTGCTCGCACTGCTCGCACTGCGCGCACTGGTCCCACTGGTCGTCGTGTCGCGCGTCCGCGTCCTCCTCCTGTTCCTGGCACGCATATTATGGCCCTTCGTCCTTCCACTGGTCCACAGCGTGTCCCCCTACCGTCTCCTCCTGCGTCTTCTCTTCCTGACGTTCCCGACCCTGAGTCTGACAGTGTTCGTGCTGCCCACCCTACTGTTACGCGTCTTCTCGCCACTGTTGTCACTGACCCGTCGTTTGAGTCTTCTGCTGCGTCTGCCCTGGTCGCTGAGCTTGTCGACTTTGCTGCTGCATGTCGCCTAGACTACGCCGCCAGTCTTGTTGCTGAGTCTGAGTCTGTCTGTCCTCCGTCCGTCGGGGGTGAGTGTGCTCTTGGCACGGACGTCCTTGAGGACAGGCAGGAGGACTTTGACTCTCTTGCGGCTGCTGTACCTCATCTCGTGGCCTGGTTGCTTGCCCCTGAGGGAGACCCGGATGCACTAGACATCCCCACTCCGCGCTCTTACGCAGAGGCGATCTCGGGTCCCTACTCCTCTCAGTGGCAGACAGCCATGGACGCAGAGATGGCATTCTGGAAGTCCACAGGCACCTACGTCGACGAGTTTCCCCCTCCTGGGGCGAACATCGTCGATGGCATGTGGATTTTCAGGGTGAAGCGGCCGCCGGGTTCTCCGCCTGTCTTCAAGGCTCGTTACGTTGCTAGAGGCTTCAGTCAGCGCCAGGGGGCGTCGCTGCCGCCGTTCTACATTCTCGTGTACGTCGACGACTTGGTCTTTGCTACTGCTGACACTGAGGCACTCGCTCGTGTGAAGTCGGAGCTGCAGAAGAGACACACCTGCACTGACCTGGGTGAGCTGCGTAGCTACCTTGGCTTGCAGATCACCCGGGACAGAGCACGCCGCACCATTACCCTGACTCAGTCACACATGGTGCAGCAGGTCCTTCAGCGCTTCGGCTTCCAGTTCTCCTCACCACAGGCCACACCTCTGGCTACCAGCCACTCGCTCTCAGCTCCACCTTCGGACGAGTCCGTAGAGCCGAGTGGCCCGTACCCAGAGCTTGTAGGCTGCCTCATGTACCTGATGACTTGCACGCGACCTGACCTCGTGTACCTTCTTAGCATCCTTGCTCGTTACGTTGCGCCTGGGAGACACAGGCGAGAGCACTGGGAGGCTGCTAAGAGGGTGCTGCGTTACTTGTGCAGTACATCAGGCATGGGGCTGGTGCTTGGAGGACGCGACAGAGTTGTTCTCACTGGTCACTCGGACGCTTCTTGGGTGGACGACTTGGCTACGCAGCGGTCGTCGCAGGGTTACACCTTCAGCCTTGGCTCTGGTTCTGTCTCGTGGCGGTCCACCCGCTCTTCTTCTGTTCTCAGCTCTAGTTGTGAGGCTGAGATCTACGCCACGGCCATGGCTGCACAGGAGTTACGCTGGCTCACCTACCTGCTGACTGACTTGGGAGAGCGGCCTAGTTCTCCTCCAGTTCTGTACGGCGACAACAAGGCGTCCCTTGCCTTGTGTCAGGAGCACAGACTGGAGCACAGGACGAAGCACATTGCTCTTCGCTACTTTCTTGCTCGAGAGCTGCAGCAGCGAGGTCAGCTTCGGCTTGTGTACGTGGACTCGAAGGCCAACACTGCTGATATCTTCACCAAGGCGCTCCCGCCTAGTGATCATCAGCGGCACTGTACTTCTTTAGGCCTTGTGTCCACGTTTCCCTCATTTGCTTACTGCTTGACATTCTTTGTACTGTACTTTATATATATCTTGTTGCTTGCTTGCTAGGTTTTGATCACTGTGTTGCTTGTGTTGTACTATATCTAGCACTGCATGTGAACTGGCCTTGTGGCCTTTGCTTGTGCTCGGAGTGTGGTGACGTTGTGATCCACCCTGGGCTTGCGTTGCTTTGCTGGACTGGTCTTGTGACCCTTTGTTCTCCCCCACTTTGCCTATGGGGGTGTGTTAAACTGTTATATGTTGGTAGGCTGTAGTGGGGTAGCCAGTATGGGGTACAACCCCAACTAGGGTTAGCTACTTGTACCCAACTGTTTCATTCAATGCACCATTCTCACGCTAGTATTCTGATAATGATGAGTGGTGAGCGGTGGGGGTGAGTAGAGCATGGCAGCGAGCAAGAGTGCACGCAAATCAGCAGACATACTCAGCAGTGGGCAGTCGTGACAGTCGTGGGATTCTTTCTGAGCTGCGAGCATTTTGCAGCGGGAATGAGAGCATGCAAGTACAAAGAGCAAAAACCACTCTCTTTGCAGCAGTCCCACCTTAAAGAGGGCAGGCATTGCAGGAAACCCACCGTGAAGAAGGCAGTCAGTGCGGTCTGAATGGTTAGCAGCACGAGACCGGCCATGCCTGGTATGCATGGGGCCTGCACGGCAATGGGAATAAGTGAAGAAATTTGCTTCTTCAGTTAAATCAACAGTCTGTCTGAATGGATGAGCACTACAATCTTATCCATGCCTGAGTATGCATGGGGGCCTCATGGATCCAGAATTAAGTAAGCAAATGAATAAATTAACAATGAATAAACGAATATAAAAATATGAATAGTTGAAATAACACGACGGACGGAGGCAGAGAAAGAGGCAGTAAGAGAGAGGCTGGCTGGAGGTGACGAGAGTGGTGAGTCCGTTGGGGGAATCAAGCAAACCCGCCCACACAGCAACAAACCGTTCAACATCCTTCACCCTCCTCCGCCCCTCACCTTTCAAAAATAGGCCGGCCGGTGGCGACGAGGGAGGTGAGCCCGCCAGTGGCACCGATAGTGAAGAAGAGAAACAGGAAGGCCATTTTGGGCGGGTGGGCTGCTCTTGATGCACACAGCCCTTGATGACACAGCACTTGAAGTCCCATGGGGCACCTCACCTTTCAAAAATAGGCCGGCCGGTGGTGACGAGGGAGGTGAGTCCACCGGTGGCACCGATAGCGAAGAAGAGAAACATGAAGGCCATGATGGGCGGGTGGGCTGCCCGCGCTGCTTCCTTGGCCTCCTGAACCAAGCACGGGCCGCAGGGGGGGGGACAGGAGGCGTGGTGAGCATGGGGAGCATGGGGAGCATGGGGAGCATGGGGAGGCGCAGCATTTGGCACGGGGAGAACAAGGGGAGGCGTTGAGATGAGACGAGGGGGCATTTGATGGCACAACTTTGCTGCTCACGCCACGCTACTGCCTTGTCTTTGGCCCCTCATCATTACATGGCACGCGCAGCGCAGCACCAGGTGATTTGAGCACCAGGAGCACCAGGTAATTCTTGACAAATGAAACATTTCTTTCTGTGGGCGGGAGCTACTTTAATAAGCCGTGACAAAAATATTCATTACGGTACCCCTCACCGCATAAACATGTATGTACACATGCATTTGCTTGTTTGTAAGCTTACACCCCCTTCCTCCCCCTTCTGTCCCTCCCTTCCCTCCCACTTCCCCCTTTCCCTGCTACCCAGCTCACAGGCGAGGAGGCGAGGCGGATCTGCCATCCCAGGTAGGCGTATCCCCTCATGGCTAGAAGAACCACTGCCTGCATGCCACGTGGCAGGGTATCATGGAAGCACATGATAGAGGGCGTGAGAGTGAGCACACAACGAAGGGTGGAGGAGAAGGACTGGGGAATTTTGGTGCTCAAGCCAAGTCAGAGGCACAGTGATCTCACCATGTGAATATCACATCTCACCATGTGAATATCACATCTCACCATGTGAATATCACATCTCACCATGTGAATATCACATCTCACCGTGTGAATATCACATCTCACCATGTGAATATCACATCTCACCATGTGAATATCACATCTCACCATGTGAATATCACATCTCACCATGTGAATATCACATCTCACCATGTGAATATCACATCTCATCATGTGAATATCACATTTCATCATGTGAATATCACATCTCATCATGTGAATATCACATCTCATAATGTGAATATCACATCTCATCATGTGAATATTGTTGTGTGATGCTATCATTCGCATTCACGTCTGTCTGCCTCCCATCATATGTTCGTGTGTTGCATGCGTGGTGTGAGCGTGTGCAAGATATGTGTTTTGTGTGGTTTGGATTTCCTGAGTGTGTGTGAATGTTATTTGAATTGGGCAGATATCTGAAGTGACTCATCTGCTCAAGAGCTTTCCGACGAGCCAAGAATCGTCGCAATCGGAGCAAGATCAAGAAAGTTACGAACGTTGGAGTTCGTATGCTTTCTGTACTTTGGTTGCGGCGACTGTGGGAACTTGTTGAGTGACTTTATATGGGGTACAGACTTTTGGGGTTGGGAAATTCGAACCCATCACTGTAGATTGCTGCCATGTGGTTGGGAGAAGCCAAACCAGGTTGGGAAGTGTGGCCAAGTGGGTTGAGGTGGATGGCATGAGTTGGAAAGTGACAGTTGTGAAAGTGGGGTTGCCTATGGAGAGGGGAATTGTGTGGCATGGGGTTTCCTTGGTTGGGGACTCCCTTGGGACCTTCCCTCTCGTCCTCCTCTTCCCTCCTACCTGGTTTAGTGCTACTTTAACTCTTGTGTGTGTTACTTTGTGGAACTTGTGAGACTTTTGTGATTGAGTTAAATTTCTGAGGCAACATACCCCCCTGTACGCCAAAACGTATAACTCACGATTTAGTTCACCATTTGACGTGATTCAACTTGGGAATTGTAGCCACGGTCCAGAGCTACAACATACTCAGTTTTTGTGAGATTTTAACAGTGAACTTTTCGGCGACGACGTTTCTTGTGAAATCTCGATTTCTGTCCAGAAATCTAGTCCAACGATTTTGTGATATTTCGGCACCTATTCTTCATAGACTCCGTCCTTGATCTCTAACAAGTGGTATCAGAAGAGTCTACTGAAGTGTGAAGACCCTCCTAGACCCACCATGGCCTGTGGGCGTGCCTAAGTGGAGTTCTAGAGGTTGCACGTGACTTCCGCTAAGGGGAAACTCTGCCGAAATTTCGTTGGCGCCGACACTTGGGAAATTGTGTGGATCTACATTGTGACCAGCAAAGGGGGGAGCTGAAACTTGTGATTGGGAGCTGAGGAGATGAGTCAAAGGAGTGGAGAAGCAGCTGATAAGAAGAGTGAACCGCCACCATCCAAGATCGAAGCTTTGGATGGCTCCAACTATGAGGAATGGAGCGGGCGGATGCGGAGCGCT